GGGTCAGGGGGCCTCTATGATGTGTGTCTGCTGATCCGTTAGGGAAACCATCTGTCTGGGGGAGTCAGCCCGGGGAGAGCCTGTGCCCACCTCGTGGGGGTCCGCACTGTGCTGGGGTGTCTTGGACACACGCGGGAGGGGGTGGGGTGGAGGGAGGCAGAGGTCCGTCTGCCTTCAAGAACCAGAAGGGCCGTGGGCCAGGCCACCACACGCCCATCCAGCTAGGAGGACACTCGAGACTTCTCTTGGTGGCCGCTGGACGTATGAGGAACACATTCTCTGACCTGAAGGGGGAGATGGCGGTAGAAATGAGACTGTCTGTCGACTAGCACTTATTGTAAGTGACACTTTAACCAGACAACGGTCCCGTCTCCACCCCATGACAAGGCCAGTCAGAAGGCCGCAGTGCCTCCTCCTACCCCCAGGGAGTTCAGGTCCCACGCTGTCAGGTAGTGTGGAAGGTTCCAGACAGGCATGTGGAGGCGGAAAACGAGTCCTGAATGAAGCTGCCCTCAGAAGTCCCGTGGCAGAATCTGCTCGAAGCCTCATGGCAGTATCTGCTGTCACGCTGAGCAGAATTACGATACGTTAAAATATGGTGCAAATTAACCGTATGGCCTGAGTCGGCAAGAAATCAATAAAAGACCAGAGTAGCAGCACAGACTGTAATTTCTTAATGCAGCTATGAAATGCTGGCACAAGCAGGTTCTCTCACTCAGATTCAGGAAGAAAGGCAATTACCCAGCCCAGACCCACATCCTCAGACACCCACGCAGACACACACACGCGTCCTCAGACAGACATCCTCAGACACACACATGCATCCTGAAACAGACATCCTCAGACACCCCCCAGACACACACACATCCTCAGTCACCCACACCCTCCCAGGCACACACACACATACACGCACCATCAGACACCCATCCTCAGACACCCACACACTCCCAGGCGCGCACTCAGACATTCTCTCTGATTCAGAAAGGAAAGTAATTGGTGAGCACGCTCACCCCCCCGAGACACCGCCCCCACACACTCAGACACACTGCTCTCGCAGACACAAACTCTCACCCCCCCACCCCCCCCCCCCCCCCCCACACACTCAGACACACTGCTCTCGCAGACACAAACTCTCACCCCCCCACCCCCTCAGACGCCAGCCCTGTATACACGCAGACACGTCCGCTCGCTCTCACTCTAGCAACAGTTTCCCCTACAGAGAAAGGAATGCACTGAAGTGACATCTCTGTGTGGGACGGAGAGTACGGGCCCGAGTGCACATGGTCCCTTAAAGGCTAAGCTTTCGAAAGACGGCATTTTGCCAAACTACAGACCCCCAGTCTGATGCTGGGAAGGGCAGTCCCAAAGGGTTTTGATGAGCCATGTCCCCAAACCCACAAATCCACACAGACACCAGCCAAACCTGTCTGCAAGGCACCTGTCGCTGCAGGTTTGCAGGTTTCCCCACTCCCAGAATTCCCCATCAACCCTTCTCTGGAGGGCCCGAGAGCAGTCTTCCCCACACCTGACAGGTCCACCTGGGATTCAGGAAGTGCCAGGCACACCTGCAGGGGACTCCTGGGTGGGACGAACCAACCAAAAGGCTGCAGGCTCAAGTCCACCCAGAGGGGCCTCAGGAAAATGGCCTGAGAATCTGCTTCCGAAAGGTCACAGCCACTGACAGCCCCACGGACCACAGTTCCACTTCGTCACCATGAGCACGGCCAACAGGTGAGCTTGTGTTCCTGGTTACTCTCCTTGTGGGATAAGTGTTAGGACCCTGAGCCGGGCTCTGGCAGATGTTACACAGGCACTTCAGGCCAGGGGTGCCAGCAGTTAGACCCACAAAGCTCTTGGCCAGAGGACATGCACATGTTGACCCGGCTGTCACCAAGGCCAGGTGCACGCAGCACCATCCTCCAGGCCCTTCCTTGGCTGAGCGATGGCCCACCACCACTGCTGGAGGACCAGAAGGTTCCCTCCTCTCTTCCTGTCCCCAAGCAGCTGTGACTAGGAGGGTGTCCCAGTGCTCACTCACTGGCAGGGTTTGTGGCCATATGGCTCCCGGGGCTGACAGGGCTGGCTAGGGTGTGGGGTGAGAAGGTGGGGCTCATGTCTATGTCCCAGCTGGGCTCCCCTGAGAACAGAACTTCCTATAGCCCTGGGGGAACAGAGGCCTTGGGGTCCTTGCCCCCTCAGACTTGGTGGTTAATAGAGTGTCCCAGTTCAGCCCCTCAGTCTGTTCTTGGAGGGACAGGAAAAAAGCCACACAACCACCAGTGTGAGCCTGGATTCCACTTGGCTGTTCTCACCTCGTTCCCACCCAGCTCTGCCAGGGCTGAATGAAAACCATCCGTTTACTGCCGGAGTTTCTTTTGGAACATTTATTGGGTGCCCCTGCAGGCCAAGCCCGGAGCAGGGAGCCCACGGTGCACATCACAGTCAACCTCACAACAGCCCTGTGAGGTAGGATAGCTCCCATCAGTCACCCAGAACCCGGGGCCCCGAGGCATCGGCCTTCACAGCTCATCCAAGGTCCAGGACTGGGGTGGAATTCAGTCCTTTCTGACTCTAAGCATTTTAGAAAATACAAAAAGTTTGGTCCCTGTTCACACCTGTCCTTGAAATAAGTTGCCGGACTTTGAAAAATAGGATATAATTTTAAAAATCAGTATTGGTGTGTGGTTTGGAGCCTAGCAAACTGTACGTGGTTTCTGTGTGGGTCACCTAGCATCCTCTCTCGTCCACCATTGACCCTGTCTGTGGCCCATGTGCCCTCCTCCTTCCCCGTCTCTTCCACGAAGTCTCAGACCCATGGAGGGGGAAGCGGCCAGTGGCCATTCCCACCGTGGTCACTGCCCAACACACGGTCCTGTTCCTTACACTTAACAAGAGTCAGCTCTCCCACAGGTCGGACCAGACCCACAGGCAAAGCTTCCGGGCTAAGCAGTGGGCGCGGCCTGTGCTAATGCGCCTGCCGGCTCGGCCGGGCCACCAGGAGCCTCTCTTCCGGCTGCTGAGGATAAGGAGGCCACGACAGAAGAGTGAACTGCAAACTCCCCTGGGGCTCCCAGTCCTAAGATGAAAGCACAGATCTCCTGAAATAAGAAACCCGGCAAAGCTGATGCAACTCCCCAAATCACAAGGGGGAAGTTAACGAGCAGGCACCACAATTAATATTTGAACACAAAACGTGAAACGTGTGTCTCTTTGGCTGTCAGGAAACCTGGGCGTGGGGCGCCACGTCTCCACCAGGGATTCTTGTCGCCGTCCCATCACACTCACTCTGGCCACATGGGACCCCTAAGAGCTGCTGTGCGCAACACCCTGCTCGACAGACCCGGGCGAGTGAGCTCTCTGCAGGCCCTCGGCCACACGATTCTGGCCCGGTCCACGTTCCGAGGCCCTTCCGATTCCTCTGGAAAAGAGAGGCCCCGTCTAGGCTCCAGCAGACCCTCTGTGCCAGAGATGGCTCCGCTCAGAACAGCTCCAGCTCCTGGTGGAGCCAGGACGGCATCTGCAGGGAAGTCCAGGCCGCTGCTCCTCTCCACCAAGGGCCTCCTACTGCCGCCGCGAGCAGCTCTTCCGGGGTCTTCCACGGCTGCCACGGTTCCGTTTAGGACTTCACTGGCAAGCTGGCCACTTCATAAGGAGGCCCCAGGAATATGGTCGTACTCAGCCAGGACGCCACACGCCAGGCTGTCAGTGAGACACACAAACACTCGCCTTTGCCTTCCCCAAGCTCCTCCAGCCCTGCAGAGGCACAAAGACGGCCTGGGACCTGTACCTCCAGCCCCAGCCGCTGTTCAAAAGCCTGGCGACGTGACACGGTGGTGCCGGAACACGCTCTGCTTTCTGATGCTTATCCGTGCTCTCCCTTTCAAAGGGCCCACAGCCCCACGCTGTCCACGGAGGCCCCTGCCGGCTCGCCCTCTCAGTGTCTTCATCTGGAACGCAGCGCTCGAGGTGCGTGAGGCTGTTCTAACCATGAAACGATGGCGGGAGGCGAGGCGAACGCTGGCACTGTCTGAGCCCTGGCCCTCTCCCTGCTCTCCAGAACAGACGCTAAGATCCGAGGCGGGAAGGCACATGAACAGCCAGCGAGCAGGCGCCCCCGGCCCACTCCCCGCGCGTTTCCCACTCTGTCCACTGCCGACCAGCCGGAGGAGCCCTGACAGGCAGGGCACTTGGGGAAGGAGCCCATTCGGCCACCCATCAATGCCAACTCGGGACATCTGACAGACGAGCAGCTGGCTACATACATGCTTCTCAAAACTTCTGAAAACAGCAGCAAATGCCACAATGATCGACCAGGAAAATTAAGGAAAAACCCACCACCACCACCTAACCCTAATGAGGGCCTTCCTGCCCTCCGGTGCTTCCTTTCCAGCGAGCCGGCCATCTGAAGGAGCGCAGCTCTTCCCACCATGATGCTCCCATGCCACCCCCACATAACACAAGCCGCCCGAAAGGGACTGTCCGGATCAGCCGACCTGGAAGAACTGCATCAGGACGGGGACATAGAACAGGGAAGGACGGTCCAGGCGAGGGGTCCCTAGACAGCACGCTCTCCTCCTGTCACCAGCCGCTCAGCACGAGGGCCTGGGACCTGTCTGTCTGTCCACGGTACGTCCATCTCTCAACCCAATGACTTGAGTTTATTGTGTCGTGGCCCCCAGCTCTCCTCGGCTGGCTCAGCACACGAACGCATGCAAAGCGAGGAGGGTGTGAGGGCTTCACCAGACAGCTGATTTTGGCAAAAAGAGAGAAACCAAAAACCCGATACCCCAAAGAGCTAAACTTCGTAAGCAGAATTAAAAGCCACGGAAGTGGAAATGATGTCTTTTCTCAGCAGTGTGGACTCAGACTACAGCTAGGACCTGTTGTTAAGTCTCTGTCATCCTCTCCCCGAGCTCAGGCCAGAGCTCACAGCAGCACGGCTCCAGGTCCTCTCACGTGCCGTGTGCTCTGCTTCCGGGGTCAGGGTTCACAGGTCAGGCTCAGTCTGTCCGAAGGACCATGGGAGGGTGCTCACTGTCCTCGTCCAGCCGCAGGGCGCCGGCCTCATCCTCCAGGCAGGCGCCGCCGGCCGCGCCTAAGTCGTCTGTGTAGGCTGCAAAGAGACTGCGAGGTCACGTACAAAGGCCTGGGCCACAGGACACACACTCCTGCCACCCAGCTGGACTGCTATGAGTCATGCTCATGCTGAGAAGGCACCGATTTTAATCCTTCTAACAAGGCTGACATTTGAACCCCCAGCCACTCCTCGTAGACTGCTGCCTAGGAAACCACGTGGGGCAGTTCCTCTCTGAAACACGGGGCTGCTAAGATCAGAACTGACCTGACAGCAACAGGTTCGGTGTGTTCTAACGAGGATCCCCGCAGCTCAGACGGCCTGAGGTGGTGTTTGTCACAAAGCTGCCCACGTGCTAAGTGGCTGATTACCATGCGCCCTGAGGGGCGGGGGGGTGGAGTCCACCCAGAGGTGCCTCCGAAGAAAGAGCTGGAAATCTACTTGTGAACCAGCTGCTGAAAACCCTGTGAGTGCACCTCCCCTTTGACCCACAACAGTGGTGCTAAGCGGAGAGGTGACAAGCTTTCTTTAGTGAACAGGGCACGTGGACACGACCCTTCCTGGCTGACAGGTGGTGGTCTGACAGGATGACGCTCTGAGGCACTAGGCCCTAAGAGGGCTGGTGAGAGCATGCTCAGGTGTGAGACCACAGGCCTCCACGTCAGCACAACCTGACTGCCCGGACAGCCGATTAGGGAGTCACCCCAGCCTCAGTGCCCCACGTCTGTCCACGTGGGTACCGGCAAGCCTCGGGTAGGTCAGCTCAGAAGCATGGGGTGCCGCCTGCCCTGCTCACTGCTGCAGCCCCAGCCCCCAAGGGGATGTGGCATGAAGCAGGTGCTCACAGGCAAAGACCAAAGCCAGAAACACCTGGCAAGCGTGGACTCCCTGGGGACAGAGCCCCAGGTGGGAGGCCTTACCAGGTCTGGTTGGGGATGGAGGCACGTAGGTGCCTTTGGCCCCGGCTGTGCTGTACGGCTGAGTGACTAAAGGACCCTCATGGGATGCCGAGTCCAGGATCTCACTGGCCGTCTCCACGCTGCCATCCAACCTGGAGAAGGCAGAGGAAGGTGAACAGCGGGCTCAGAGCCTGCGCGAGGACCAGCCGTGGCACCACCACCCGGCACTCAGCCACGGGCGCTCACCACCGCAGCACACCCAAGTGCTGCCAGAGTCAAGGTCTACCTCACAAGACCACCTGACCCGTCTTTAACTGAAGAGAACTTTCTAAACAACCTCCCCCAGCCCCACCCCAACCTTCCAACGCCTTACTACACCACTGTGGGGGCTTCTGCACTGAACAGAGCACACCCGACTGTGCTCCCCCCATGAACCAGTGCCCCTGTGAAGGGCGGGTGCCCTCCATCCTGTGGGAACACCGGCCCCCTGGGAGAACGCAAGCCCCCCCACCTGTTGAGAACGTGAACCCCGCCTGGCGAGGTGTCTCTTTCAGGGAGAATGCCCACAGCACAGTGCGCTAAGCTGTGATGTCACCCACTGTGTCCTTTCCTCAGGACGCTCAGGCCCATTCTTGGCCAGGTCCCAGGAAGTGGGCCAGGGCTGCCCCCAACAAATTAAGGACAAGGGTAGTACTCTGCCCTCCAACTCCGGCCACCAGCCTGGCCACAGGGCCAGAGCAGAGGCACCGGCAGCCAGCATTGTCAGAGCACCAGCGGGTGGGGTCAACTCTGTGAGAAACGGCCCCCAGCCCAGCCGGGCTGCTAGTCTCCTAGAGCCGGGTCCCAAGGAAACGAAGAGGCCAAGCGACAGGCTGCGCGCAGAGGGGACACGCGGAGGGCTCGGGCCGAGGCTGCGACAGGCTGCGCGCAGAGGGGACACGCGGAGGGCTCAGGGCTCGGGCACTCACTTGTGCTGCTTCATCAGGGTGCACTCGCCCCCTTCCTGAGGGTCCAGGTTGTACATGTACAAGTAGCCGTCGGACGCACCCACCAGCAGCCGGGGGATCTTCTGAATTCTAATGACAGCAGAAAGCAGGTTCTAGGAGCAGAGCGCTGATCGCAGTGTCTGCTTAACCTGGCAGCCCCGCTCTGGCCTGGCTAGAACCCCTCTATGACTCGGATTCCGAGCTGCACGCCGAGCAGCCGTCAGGCTCCCGCCAGGAGGGCCGAGGATGGACGTGCTGTGAATGCCCCCGCCACCACCTCTGATCCCTAGGGAGGAGCCTGGGCAAAAGCGGCTCCCTGGGGGCTCTGATCACCAGGACTCTGCTCGTCTGGTAGAAAAGAGAAAGACGCTGCTTCCAGGCTGACGGACTTGAGAAGGCGTGCACCACCGGGAAGGGGCCTTTCTCCTGGTCAGTGTCAGGGAACCCATCAGCCTGCGACTGTAAGAGGCTGCATGCATCCTGTGCCCTGCACTGGGACAAGGCCTGTGACTGTAAGAGGCTGCTTCTATCAACCACAAATGGCTCAGCACTGCCAACCTCACAGTTCAACTTAGAACTGTTTTTCATTAACATCAAATACTTTCCATCAAAGAATCCAGAATTAAGCAGAGCCCCCCCAGAGGAAGGCTTAGCAGCTCATCACCGGGCAGGTGCATCTGCTGGCTCCCTCCGTCCCTCCCTGCACTGACCCTGCCCCCCGTCCAAGCTGTCCTGGGTCAGGAGACACTGTCCAGGCGCCTCGCCCCCCTCTCTGGTGTCCGCTCTGGTAGATGGCTGCAGTGGCACACGCTACTCACGTGGCGAGCGAGCAGATGTTCTTGTGGCCGCAGAAGGGCAGGCGGACAGTGGCGAAGGCTCTGCCCTGGTTGAACATCTCCGTGACCTGGGAGGGCAAGTAGCTGGTGGAGGCCAGGAGCACTTTGCCCAGGTAGCCGGTCCAGGTGGTGGGCTCCTCCTGGGGCCTGTGAGGACACACACTCAGACCACAGAGCTCCGTGCCCACGGCCCCTCCCCAGGGATAAGGGTCTTCTGACTCCAAAGCATTTGTCCTGGACAAGGATAAGGGCTCTCCCGGCACACTGTCCCAGGGGCGAGTAGAGAACTGCTCCCAGGTCTTGGAAACAGGCAGGGCCACGCCCCAGGGCCAGGTTCACAGCAGATGACCGTCACTATTGGGTGCTGACCCCATGTGCCAGAGCAGTGCTGCCTATACGGTTTCTCGGGCTGCAATCTTTCCGGGAGCCAATCACCAGTTCTCTTATCCCACGGACCTACTGGTGAAACTTTCGGATAGCACCAAGCACTTAACTGTCGTGCCACCAGGACACCTTGACAAGTGACTAGCTCCCCTTTTACAGCAAATGTAAGACATTAGGGCCAACTTTACAGGACTCCCAGCAGTAGCCTCCAGAGTCAGTGGTGCGCCCTGGGGCCCCTTCGGCTGTGTCCCTCTCCATCAGCACAGACCATAAACAAACAGGACCTTCCCAGCCGGATGCTGCCACACAATTAGAGGAGAGAGAAGAACCCTGCTCACTACACGTATTCGTTACTGTAACGCCTAATTTAAATCAACTGCTATAACATTGGAAACAGCCTCACCCCTTGGCTTAGGTGCAGACAGGATACAAGAGACGGGGTTCTCACCCAACAGGCATCTCCTCACTAAGACATGCCAAGAGGTGGCCACGAGCACTGACCAGAAGGTTCTACCTTCGGTTTAGGTGGGCCAAGCTCCTCCCACTTTCAAGCATCATGTTAAAGTGGGGAAATCCACTATATGGCTGAGCCTAGATTTGGTGGCACTTACAGCATAGTGCCTAAGGCATCTGACTGCTAACCACAAGATTGGCAGTTCAAACCCACCAGCCACTCCTCCGAAGGTTGGGCAACCTACTTCCGTAGTGATACTGCCTCAGAAACCCAAGGAGGGGTTTGCTATGAGTCGGGCCTGACTTGGCACATAACAACATTCTTCACTGACAGAAGTCCTGGTGGTGCAATGGTTAAGTGCTCGGCTGCTAACTGAAAGGTTGCTGGTTCGAACATACCAGCAACTCTGCAGGAAAAACCCTTGGTGATCTGTCCATGTAAAGATGACAGCTAAGACAGCTGTACTGTCACAAAATGGGTCACCGTGGTAGAAACAGACTCAATGACACCATCAACATTCATTACCAGTAATCAGCGTCCACAAGCAGGACCGTGTCTGTGCTTAGGTTCTCACCCCACAGCGTGTGCTGGGTGGCAGAGGTGGTCTGGGATCTCACCCCACAGCGTGTACCGGGTGGGAGAGGTGGTCTGGGGGTTCTCACCCCACAGCGTGTGCCGGGTGGGAGAGGTGTCTGGGTTCCCAGCATGCCTTTCCACTCACTTTTCCTTCACAGTCTCGAGTTTGAAGATGTGCACAGTCTCTGTGTTGCTGGACGCCGAGAGGAACATGCCGTCCATGCTGAAGGCCAGTGAGCAGATGCTGACACACCTGGGGACAGTGCACAATGCACAGGTCTTATTAAGTTGTCACCAGGACACGGGTTAGGGTGTTATAACTAAAAGGATAGAGAAGACAAGTCCCCAGGGCAGGCCGACTCAGGTCTGCTGACATCCTTCTCACTGCCATCCAGCCAGCTGCCCAGAAAGTACTGAGCGAAGGGTGCTGGAAAGTCCAGATCAAATAGGAACAACTCCTTCATCTCGCTCAACAGCCCACACTCTTTGTTTTAAAGAAAGAGCCAAGACCAGATGCTAGAGGAGAGGGGAGCAGGGGGGCGAGGACAGGCACATGGTGCCCAGGCGAAGGTGGGGGAACGTCGTGCAGCACCAGGGCTCCCTGAGGCTTGGGCAATGGTACCAGGGCCCTGGTTCTGTGGGCCTGCCCAGGAAGGAATGTGGCCAAATGAATGTCTGGTTTGCATTTGTTTATAAAGATGCTCCGTTCCATGCCATGAAGAGACCCCCCCCTAATCTCAACCGACCACTGAGGTGGGCTGAGGGGCCTGGGCATCCACCTGGGTCACAGGTCAGCAGATGCCCGAAGCCCAGCCTGCACGCGACTCAGCCCGCAGATGCACACACTCTACCTCTTTACTCCTCTCCGGAACTCAAAGAGCTTATGTCCCTCTGGGGTGGAGAACACCCGGATCACGGTCCCCTGTGACGGGAAGAGAAGGGGCGACAGTGAAGGGTGTGCGGCGTCCTCCGTGCCAGCTCTGCTCTGGCCGGTGAGGGAGAGCTGGGGCTGCCCTCTGCTCTCCTCCCAGCATGCCCCTTGCTGCCCTATTGCTCCCCTCCACTCTCCTCCCAGCACACCTCTTCCACTTCCTGCCCCTTGCTGCCCTATTGTTTCCTCACCTCAAGTCTTTTCTCTCAATCAGCCTACCTCAACTTACTACTAATTCTAAACACCAAGAGTCGTGGATTCAAATGTAGAACATAACATAACCCACCAGCCCCTCCTCGGAAGGAAGGTCGGGCAATCTACTTCTGTAGTGATACCGCCTTGGAAACCCAAGGAGGGGTCACTATGGGTTGGGGCCGACTCAACGGCAAATAACAACAACACTTGGAAGTCACGTGAAGTCACAGCTCATATAGGTAAAAAGCTGGGGCAGGTGCTGCCTGCGAGGAAGCCTGTTGTTGGCTGCCGTGGGGTCAGTTCACACATGGCCACCATGTTACAAAGCGGGGCTGCTCCACAGGGCGTGCCTGGCTGCAATCGTTTTAAGGACCATTAAGCTGTGGAACTTTGCTTTCTTAGTGAAAACATACACAACAGAAGACACACTACTTCAACAATTTCCACGTGTGCAGTTCAGTGACACTGTGCTATTCGAGTGACGCCGCGTCTCACGCCAAACGGGTTCATCACATAGCCCCAAACGCACTGTGCCCTAAGTTTCCCGTCTGTCCGTCTGACACGCTGCTATCAACCCGGTCCCTGTCTGGCTGTGATCTTAATGGAAGCTGATCACCTTTTCTTCCACGGAGCCACCGGTGGGTTCCAAAGCCCAGCCTTTAGGTCAGCAGATGGGGCACCCAGGGCCTTTCTTAACCTGATCATCAGGTGCCCACTGAGGCCCCTTCCAGGCACTTACAGGGATACCTATCAAGGGAACTGAGAGCTGGGAAATATGACTTAGCCACCCCAAGAGACACCTCACGGAGCACAGGAGTGCAAATGTGGAGGCTCTGACTGGAAAGACACGGCAAGGCAGGAATTAACGGTGAGAACGTCCCCCGAGCATCAAACCCGTGTCTGGAAGATGCCCTCCAAACTAAAAGGGGACTTGTGGACAGGGAGGCAGGCAGTAACAAGAAAGCGTGCATGTGAGAGGAACCAGAGGGCAGGGCTTTCAACTTCCGAAGATGACAAGACCGCTACAACAGCTGTATTTTCCAGGTAACCGGATGGCAAGCCCCGGGACGGGAGCATTGCATGGAGGGAAGGAAGACTGATTTCAGAGTCTTCAATCTTGAGCCACACCAATTTTAGAAGGTTTAAATAACTAAATATAAAGACAAACAAATAATTAACATCTAAGAAGACATCTTTTTCCTTTGGGGACAAGAGTGATTGTTAGCACTCCAACAAGAGAAACGACATAAAGGAGCGGATCGGAAATGCTAAGGCCGTGGAGGGTGGATGGGGAGGGCCCCTGCTGGGGGGAGGGGCCGCCGAGGCGAGGCCGCCCAGGTGACTCCCAGTGACCCCGTGCCTGGTGCTGCCCCCCTGCCCCCCCGGACCAGCTGCAGGTCAATAGTTCACTTCTGGAAGGAGATCATCAGGCCTTTGTCCCTAGTCTTCATCCAAAAGCACTGCTGAAACCTCAGCACCACAGTACAGAGCTTGTCAAAAGGCCACAGCCCTTGACCCAGAAATGCTTCTTACCAGCCCCTCTCAAGATACCAGGCAGAGGTGCCCACACAGACTGATGTACAAGATTTACACACAGTCGTTTATAATAAAATATTAAAACCATGTAAGCCACATAACTCAAAGAACGTAGACAATGTCACTGAATTGTACACAGAAACTGTTGCATCAGTGCATGTTCTGGGGTATAAACTATGAAAACAACAAATGAAAAAAATAAACCAGTATTATTGATACAGAAGGGACGCAGTCCCATAGCCCTACCAGGACCCTGCCCAAGAGAAGCACGGTGCCAGGCACAGTGAGAATGAGATGGTACCCATACAACTAGGGTGATACCAACTTTGTTAAATGAATAAAAGAATGCAAAAAGCACACTGAAATGTGTTCAGCAGCTCAGAGTGGGATTCTGTGTTTGCTTTCATGCACAGCACTGTAATGCAAACGTGTTCTACACTGATGTTTTGTGTGTTTTTTTTTTTTTTGCAAACTATGCACTTGTTTCCCTTGATTTGCTGTGTGTGTTAAATGTGTGTGCACATTATTTTCATGGGTGCATTATGTGCAAAAAAAATATGGTACTTCTTGTCCTTTTCTAAGTTTTCTATCCTAAGATACATGGTACCTTCCACCCTCTTCTGAGTCCTCTATCCTGAGATATACGGTACTTCTTGTCCTTTTCTGAGTCCTCTATCCTAAGCAGATGGCCGATTTCATAGTTTAAACCCCAGCGAGGGCATTTTCTTCTCCTCTGTGGGACTCTGTACTTCTCAGAGCAGATGCCTTTATCATCAGAAAAAGCCCAGTCTGTGTTTTTCACTCATTCCCAGGCAGCCCATCTGACAGCCTGGCAGGTGGGTCTCTGAGATTTGATCGCCAGACTGTGGGTCTCTGAGTCGGCCGTGGGTGAGTGGTGGGTGAAGTCTGTGTAGACCCCAGAGCCAGTGTGTGGCCGGGCCGCTGCCACGCAGACTCACCTTCTCTGAAGCAGTGGCGAGTTTCGTGCCACTCGCGTCAAAAGCCAGCGCTGCCAGAGGACTGTCATGAGCTGGGATCATGTTTGCAGCTCTCTGCAAAGGGAGGAGCGGGGACACGTAAGTGCACGCGGCAGAGAGGCCACGTACGTGGGAGGCTGAGGACGGCAACTGGCTGTGCCTGAACCACGTCAGTAGAGATTCCAGACCCACCAGATTGAAGAGTGGGGCAAGGCAGTGCTGATTAAAATCGGAAGTCAGCACTTGGTCCAGGTCTCTGCCCCTCACACTCACGCTGCTCTTGCGGGGACACTGGGGTACACGTGGAGGCAGAGGTGACCAGGCCTGCTCTGCCACTCACCAAGGGAAGCAGTGACACTTGCTGCTGAGCCCAGCAAGGAGAGGGCAGACCCCGGGGCATCCCCTCAGATGGAAAAGCCTGTTTCTAAAGTTCATTCGGGTCCCAAAGGAGCCTCACCAGGTTGATGGTGTCGAAGACCTGCACCTCTCCGATGGTGGCACTGCCAGGGTATGCCAGGTAACAGTTGTCATTGTTTATGGACAGAGCGCACAAGCCTGTGAAGAACAGAGAACATACACTGAGTTCAGGCCACAAGGCCTTCCTTTTCAGCTGGTGCACACCAACCACTAAGCTGACAATCTTCTCACTGCACCTCCAAACCACCAGGTGATAAAAAACCCCAAAACACCCAGCTGCTGTCAATTCTGACTCATGGTGACCTCAGGTATGTCAGGGTCAACCTGTGTGCCACGGGGTTTCCAATGGCTGATTCTTCCAATGGCTGAAGGAGACCTCTGGACTCGAACCCCTAAGCTTTAGTTAGTAGTTAAATGCATTTAAGTCTGCACCATCCAGGGACACCCTGAGGTGACAGCAATATTACTAACGGATGAAAGGCCTTTGGTCTGAACTGATAGTAACCTCAAAACTGGAAGCTGATCTAACCAATGACTTTATCCGGTCATACGCCTAGCATTAGGTAGAAGGTCACTTGGCTTAAAATCAGTTTTGTTTTATAGGATAAAGACTAGTGGAACCCCAGACAATGGTGCTCAGTCATTCTTCAGCCTGGAGCTGAACTCGTCCCTGAGGCTTACAACTTTCAGCCAAACCAGACAGGCCGATGTGGTGAACAGTAACCCGAGGGAGGCATGTGCTCCTTACAACAATCAACCAGACAAGGCCCGAAAGGGCAGCATCTGCCCGGGGCTAAAGCTCAGATGTCAGGAAGGGACAGAAAGGAGGAGGAATGGCGACAGGAGCCACGGAGAGATGGGGAGAGGCCTGTCACACTGCAACTGCAAGCAATGTCACGAAACAAAATGGGCACAAACTGTCGAATGGAAAATGGAAAACTGAATGGCTCTGTGAACTCACTCAAATCTCAATTGAGAGAAGAAAAGTTCAGCATTTTAAAAAATCTGTCGACATTTCTGGAAGCTGAAACCAGACCGGACAAAACAAGAAAGCACACCCCCTAACTCACAGAAGGCAGAATCAGAAACGGGGCTCTCGGCCGGCGTGAGTTACCTGCGGGGTTCGGGGGCGTCTCTCGGATGGTGTGCAGCACCTTCATGTCCCGAATGTTGTGGATGTACAGTGACTCTTCCAGGCACACTATTAACCTCTGGAAAGAGACAGGCCAGGTGTGAGCGGTCCGCACACTCGCTCCCGGCCCGGCCTCACACTTCTGTCCCCTCCAGACCCCCTCCACCGACTCAGGGCACAGACCGGCTGGTTCTCGAGGAACGGCCTTGCTGCAGGACTGTGTCCTCCACCCGCCCATGAAGTGGCACCGAGAGCCAATGGTGCCGTCCCCACGACTGTGTAAGCCACTTGTACTAATAATTCTAACTACGTGTTTGAGTCAACACCCTGCGAACTGATCCATTGCAGCCAAGGAGAACGTCCTGCTTCTGCGGGGCCTTGCTGCTTCCCTCCCCGCATGAAAATCGGGTGAACGCCAGAGCCCCACTGGGTGGTGCCAGCTGCTTTAAAAGCGGCTCCGCGGCACTGTGTTCGCTTAAGGACTAGTCGGGGTCACTGAACCAAACATACTGTCGCATCAGTGTCCGTTCCCTACAACAGCAGGATGAGACTACTGGAGGCACAAGTCGGACTGAAGGAAAGGCCGAGGGATTTCTATGGACTAACACCTCGCCGGGTTCTGCGCTCAGAACCTGCCTGTCTGAAAGGGAAGGCACGCAGACCTGCAGCCGAGGCGTGAAGGGGCGGCCCCTGCAGGACAGACTGCCTGGAACACCCTCGGCTCTACGTCACCTGAATGTGAGCGAGCACGTGTGTGTTTTAAAATAACAACAGGTGACATCGCGTCTCAGCCAACTCCGCCATCCTGGCCAACTCTGGCCATGAATGAATCAACAGGATGCAGTGAGTTTGCTCTCCCATCAACAGGCCAAGGCCCAGTTTCAATCACAGAAGACAGAAGTCCCTGCTCTTCTTGCTTCCTCGGGTACCATGCACTTCAGAACCTGCCAGCTGCCGTGCTCACTGTCACATCAGCCTTCTTGCCTTGGACACTAGGATCTAAGGCCAGTGCTGTCATCCTGCGAGCAAGCCAAAGCCACGTGACAGTCTCACGGAGCAAATGGAGAGCTATCCACCAGGCAGTACCCTGGGCCAGGGAGCCTGAGTAGCTTTGCGGAAGGTATGATAAAGCATTAAGTCTCTCATCTTAAATTTAAAAAAAGAACAGTTTAAAAAGGAAAAAAATGTTCTAATGAATTTTATAAGTCACATTTATAAAAGCAAAGAAGATAGCAGGTAAAAACGTTTTTTGTCAATTCCACCCCCAGAGGACAGAGCAGACCTGGCCCACAAGGTGTCCAAGGCTGTCCATCTTCAAGGACACCAAGGGCCACCCATGCCCTTCTCCCATGGGACGGCTGCTAGGCTTCCCCTGCCGGCTTTCCGGTTAGCAGCTCAGTGCTGAGCCACCGTGGCACCCAGGCTCCTCTGAGCTAAAAACATACCAACTCTATGGACGTGCAGATGGAGTTACACACATGAAGGCTCCTGTCACAAGCAGAATGGTTTAAGCAAACCGTGGAGAGACGGCACCAAGCCACCCCGTGGGCTGAGAGGGGACTCAGCACACAGCAGTATGGGCCAGGGCCAGTGTCTGCGGGACCTGAGGGGTCAGCTGAGGAAACATCTCCTCCCGAGGGCGGCGACCAGCAAAGCTGCCCAACTGAAGACGTGGAGCGACATGCAGAGCCCATATGGCGGCTGGCCACGAGCACGCGGGACGCACCTGTCGGTTCAGCTTCACGGCCAGGATGGTGTTGGAGTAGCTGTAGTTGCAGATCTCCGTGCCCTTCTTAAAGTGGCAGACCTTGAGCTTCCGGGGCGCCTTGAGGCTCACAATGGCCACCAGGCTGCTGGAGAAGAGCCTCTCCACGATGCACACGTCCTCCGTGTCATCTGAGGGGGGAGACACACGTGTTACAGACATGCACCTCCACGATGCACACGTTCTCTGTGTCATCTAGGATATGCAAGTGTGTTACAGACTTGCACCTCCATGATGCATACGTCCTCCAGGTCATCCCAGGACAAACACTTGTGTAACAGACACATACACCTCCACGATGCACACCTCGATGCGCACGTCCTCTGTATCATCTGATGAAGAAACCCACATGGCACTAGAACATGATGGGGTGGTGTAGTCACACTTCTGAGGGCCCCAAGAGCAGAGGTGAGCCCTAGAGGCAGGCAGACAGGCCACCTCCCCGCTGGTGGGCAGCGGCTCCTCAGGGTCTCTCCCACTGTGTGGCTGGTGCAGGTGCCACCTGCAGAGGCCTTGCCCTGGTCCCACCAAGGGGCAGCCTCCCGGGCGCTCGCGGCCTCCTGTCCCTGTCCTCCTGTCCGTCCTCCCTGGCTCTCACCCACACGTACTGTGCCTGTGTCCTTCCTCCCTTCCTTCCTATGACGCGCCGGGAGGACAGAGACCTCACCTGCCCTGCTCAACGCTATGTCCCTGGCACTTCAGTGAGCACCTGACAGGGGACAGGCCCCAAACTTCCTTCAAAGAGTCCATCTGTCTGAGTCTTCCTTTCCTGAACTCTGACCCAGGGTCATTAGAAGCAGTGACAGGTACCAGCCACACCTGGTACTCCATACACCCTCACTCAGGAGGTCTGGGGTCACAGAGGCACACAGGGGTGCCCTGCCCCCAGCAGCGGCTGCATGTCCTGCGTGGATCCTCCCGTCGGCTGAGCCGGCTCTCCTCCCCTCTGCTTAGAGCTGCCCTGGCGGGTGGGGGTGGGGTTGATCTGGGCACAAGGAGGGTCCGGGAGGAAGGAAAGCCTGGAGAGGAGACGAGACCCCAGAATACGCCTTCCTTGTGCAGCCCGCCTCCGGACTCAGCTGGAGGAAGGCCCAGCACTGCGAGTCAGATAAGACCTGGCCATCTGCTCCTGCGGGGTCACTAGGAGTCAGGATCAACTCCATGACACCCAACTGAAACCACACTGAAGTGAGTTTAGAAACTGAAGTAGTAGAGAAGGTGAAACAGCCATGTCTCGGGTCACCTAACCAAGACACGCTGTTTTGAAAAAGATGCATCACCGTTCAGCACAGATCAGACAGCCCCGTGAACTCAGCTCCAGTGGTCAGCTTGTCATACCCTCCCATCTCTGGGGGGAAGTGATGAGAAAGGACACACACTCTGCTGTCCCCCAAGTGGACCTAGGCTGTGGAATGTGGCTCTCGGGGGGGGTGCTCACAGTCATTTTTGCCAGGTCAGTTGACACCAATCACATTCATTCTTTCTCCTGCAGGAGTAAGGAATCTTCAGTCAGAAAGAACAAACACAGTGACTACCACAACTAGAGGTGCTGTTAGAAGCCAGGGATGGACCCTGGGGTTGGGGGTCTGGTTTGAAGCTTCTTACCTGGCCCCACCTGTGTAGTTGCCAAGCCCCCAGGAGCTGCCTCTCTCAAGAAGTCATACTCGGATACTCTGTGAGCCAAGGCCAGGGGCTCGCCCGTTGCTCTCAAAGACTCCCTCTACTGGCTGCAATAGTGCCTGGCACGCCACGGCACTCAATCGCTCAGTGTGGAGCGCCAAGGCACCATGTCCACCCAAACTCAGCAGAGACTAGTGCTCACCCAGGAGACCCATTCACCGGCAGCAGAACTCACTTCCAAGAGGACGGATGCCCTCATTCCCTTAGGAATCTAGCACAGGCAGAGAGGTAGCGGGGTCAGTGCAGGCCCTCCAGGCCTTCCCCACACTGTGCAGTGTTCCCTCTCAGTTCCTGCTTGAAGGGTGACTAAGGGCCACAGTTACAGAGGTTCCACCAGCCTACATCTGACCAGACAGCCTGGTGTTTACGATATTGAGTTTGGTCCACATGTTTCCCCCACTCTATCGGGAACCTCTTACTGTGGTCCCAGAGGGCTCAGCAGTGGTAGCAGGGCACCGTCCAGTGCTGCAGGGGTTCAGGGTCACGGAGGCTGGGCTTCATGTGGTCCCCTGGTCTTTGGACTTGTTGTTTCCACTCATCTTCGATTTTCTTCATTCTCCTTTGTTCCCGACAGGGAGAGACCAAGAGCTGCATCTTAGATGGTCCCTCACACAAGCTTTGAAGACGCCAGTTTTAAGACTCACTATAGTAGGATGAGATCACTGTCTTGTGGACCACATTATGCCAACTGACCTGGATAATTCCCCAAACTCTTCAAAACAGTTTGTTTTAGAGAAACACTGATCTCTTGAATTGGGTCATATCTAATAACGGGCTAATCTCATTCACTGTATTCCATTTCGGTGGGAAGAGCTATTACCCTCACGTGCTACAGTTATATCTAAGAATAGAACGGTTCTGGGTAAAGTTCACCTACATTGTCCTAATACAGTAAAACCTGTGAAAGATGGAACCTGTGTAAGGTGGAAACCTGTCAAGACAGAAAGGGAAGTACTTCCCACTAACAGAGACTGACAAAAAAGTGCAACACTACACCTGTCAAAGGTGGAAAACCTGTGAGACTCAGCAAAACACAGCTGTCCCACTGAGTTCCAGCTCCCTGTAAATGTGCTGAGGAACTGCCTTGGCACCTGGCACCTTGGTCAGACGGGGGATATGGTGACTAAGCGGGGGCCCCACACAAAAACCAGAGTGTAAAAATGAGAAGCTCAGCTGTTCATGAGGTGTATGGCTGTTGCCAATTTTTCAACACTTGTAAGAGGTCTTCTGCAGCAGAGGTGTCCAAGTAAAAATGAAATTCTTGACAACTTCAGCATTTTCTCTGTTTATCATGATGCTGCTTATTGGTCCAGTTGAGAGAACATTTGTTTTCTTCATGTTGAGGTGTAATCCATACTGAAGGCTGTAGTCTCTGATCTTCCTCAGTGAGTTCTTCAAGCTATCTTCACCCTCAGCAAGCAAGGCTGTGTTGCCTGTATATCGTAGGCTGTTAATGCGCCTTCCCCCAATCCTGATACCATGTTCCTCTTCACATGGTCCAGCTCCTCCAATTATCTGCTCAGCGTACAGCTGAGTGAGTGTGGTCAAAGAACCCCAACACACAGTACTCCCCTGCTCTGTTCAAAGGATTCCCTCCTGAACTATGGACAGGTTCCACATGGATACAGTTAACTGCTCTGGAATTCCCATTCTTTGCAATGTTATCCATAATTTGTGATGAGTCACACAGTCGAATGCCTCTGTAGTGAATAAAACTCAGGTAAACATCTTTCTAGGAACCCTGGAGGCACTGTGGTTTAAGTGCTCGGCTACTAACCAAAAAGGTCAGCTGTTTAAACCCACCAGCCCCTCCTCAGAAGAAAGATGTGGCAGTTTGCTTCTGTAAAGATTTACCCTCTTGGGAAACTCACGAGACAGTTCTACTCTGTCCTGCTGGGTCACCAAGCTGAAATCAACCTGACGGCAGCGGCTTTTAAAAACGTATTTCTAGTATTCTCTGCTTTCAGCCAAGACCCGTTGGATTTCACTCACGATAGCCCTCATTCCGCCTCCTCTTCTGAATCTGGCAAGAATTTCTGGCTTTGCCTTGTCGATGTACTACCACAGCCATTTTTTAATTATCTTCTATAAATTATTACGTTTGTGATATTAATGATATCGTTTGACAATTTGCACATTCCACTGGATCACTTTTCTTTGGGACAGGCACAAATGGATCTCTTCTGATTGGCTGGCCAGGTAGCTGTCTTCCAAATTCTTTGACACACATGAACAAGTGCTTTCAGCATTGCATCCGTTTGTTAAAACACCTCAACGGCTATTGCTGAAGCCTTGTTTTTCACCAAGGCCTTCAGTGTAGCTTGGACATCTTCCTTCAATACCCTCAGTCCTTGATCGTGATACCTCCTGAAACGGATGAACAGCAACCAACTCTTTTTGGTGCAGGGGCTCCTTCCATCTTCTTTTGACGCTTCCTGCAATGTTCATATTTCTGCCCATAAACTCCTTCAATATTGCAACTCGAAGCTTGAATGTTTTTCTTGCTGTTTCAGACTGAGATTGGCTGAGTTTTAAATAACTCAAAGACCTAACTCCAGGTCTTTGCATGTTTCATTGTAATTCTCTACTCCATCTTCTCAGCTGTCCTTTGAAATCTATCAGCTATTTTATGTCATCATTTCTTCCATTTCCTTTAGCTACTCTACATTCCAGAGCAAGTTTCAGGGTCTGTTCTGACATCCATTTTGGACTTTTCGTTCTTTCCTGTCTTTTTAATTATCTTTTGATATCTTCATGTCACAACTTATCTGGCCTTTGGTCATCAGTGTTCTGTGCATCAAATCTGTTCTTGAGATGGTCACTAAAGGCAGGTGGGATATACGCAAGGTCATACTTTGGCTCTCATGGATTTATTTTAATTGTCTGCAGTTTCAACCCTGCATATGAGCAACTGATGTGTTTCAGTCATCCCTGGCCTTGTTCTGACTTATGGTAATAAGCTTCTTTCCACAGATGTAGTCCATCTGATTCCTGTGTATTCTATCTAGCAAGGTCCTTATGTATAGCTGTCATATATGTTGCTGAAAAAATTTTTATTGCAAATTTATACGGAAATTTTCTATTTCCAATGAGTAAGTCCTTGGTCTCGCAAAGTTCTTTCATCTGATCTTGAGCATCATTTCTATCACCAAGGCCACATTCTCCAACTAGCGATCCTTCCTCTTTGTTTCCAACTTATCCGTCCGTCTGTCCTGCTGTGGTGGCTGGCGTATTGCTGTGCTGCTGGAAGCAATGTCACCAGCGTTCCAGGCACCAACAGGATCACCCACGGTGGACAGGCGCCAGCGGAGCTTCTAGATGAAAACAAATTAGAAAGAAGGACCTGGCAGTCTACTTCTGAAAAAAAAATGAGCCAGTGAAAATCTTACTGATAGCAGTGGGACACTGTCTAAGGCCCTCATCTGCTGAAGATGCCACAACTCAAAATCAG